TATCTTCCTTATACATTTATATCCTAATCTTTTCTCACCTTCCTTCCATATTTCCTTGCTTTTTGTACCACCTGTTCTTCTTTCCTTTGTGTATTTCCTTATTAACTTCTCCTTTTCAAACCCCACTTCTCTCTTTTCTAGGGGAAGTGGCGGCCTAGTGGTTAGGGCATTGCGCTTGGAATCCTGAGGTTCCGAGTTTGAGCCCAACTCCCCCAGACTGCTCCGCACAATGGCAGCCCACTGCTCCCCAAGGGGATGGGTTAAATGCAGAAAGTTCATTTTGTTGCTCTGTACTTACAGTGTAATGACAATACAAAAGAAGCCGGAAAAAAGTGGAAGCTTTTGTTGTGTCCCTCCTTCCTTTCCTTGTCCCCTTCCTTGTTTCCTCTTCATTCTTGTATCCTCCTATGCTTCTGTCTGCCGTCCCCAGTATCCATCTATCCTTTTGTCCTACTTCTCTCTCCCTCTAACTTGTTTCCTTCTTTGCTACTTTGCTTCATTTTTTCCTCCCAATTTGCTCTTGTTTTAGATGACATATTTTAAATATTTTCAGCAGTTTATATAAATGGAAGGTTGGCTCTCATATTTGTCATATTTTCAGGTTTTTACGGTAAATGCAAAGGAATGGGAGACAGAGACCGTTCAGTTTGGAATTTTTAGTTTATCCTTGTCTTTAATGCTATTTTGTACTTTTTCTGAAACCACTTTTGAATTTCTGTTCAGCTTTGATATTCTTCTTTGAACGAACCACACATAGAATTTAGTATGAAAACACTTCATCGTTCAGCTGACTACAGAGACATCTGTTGGTTAAAGATGGTTACAGCAAACTGTGAATATGGTTCACACAGATCAAACATATTTCTAATTATAAGATTAAAAAAGAACAAAGATATGATATTAAATAGATATTTATTTACAATACCAAAGGTGAACAAAGAAAATAAAGTGCTTTGAACAGGAGGTTTTTCTAAAACTAATATATATATATTCTTTTAGTAAGGAAAACAATTTGCTCGGGGCTCTTTTTTACAGTTAAATATGATGTTGCAGAAAAATAAATGATATCCTTTTGATAATGCTGCATTTTCTGTGTAGATGCCAAGCATTAAACATATATAGTAGCTTATATTATATTTTGTGCTATATATTCTTTTACTTGTCCAATCAATAAAAAGGAATAGCCCTATAGCTAAATATGGTGAACATGTCAAAGACAACAAAACACAAATACAACATAGTTCACTGACCGTACAGATGATTGATTGAATTAGGTCTTAGTTACTATACATCACAGAGTGCCTTATTTTCCTGTCATTTGTAAAAACAAAGAAGAGGTATTTTATTTTCACTAGCAATGCAGCTTTCAGTTTATAGAAAAATGGTTTTGCTTCCGACATTTTATCTGTATTTTGGACTAAAATTTTAGACATCTTTAAAAAGAAATTAACAGAATACTAAAAGGAAAAATCATAGTTACAAAGTTGAAAAAGAAGAAAATACATATTTTCAGATCACAAATTATTTTGTGCAGCAGCATTATATTTGATGGCTCCCTGCATAAACATAATAAAATCACTGACCAGTGACTGGACTTTTATTTCCTTGCATGTTAACTATTCTTTGGAGTATTTATTAGTGTGCTTTGGGTCATTATAGAATTACCTCATCTAGCTGTTTTAGATAATTTGCTTTTATAGATAATCTCACACATTTACTCCAGAATATTGGTGGGTATTATATAATGGTGAGCTGATAAGGTGCAGCTGCTGCAAACAATTCCCTTACCATGACTCTTACGTCTCTATGCTTCACAGTTTATGTAATTTTTTTTATCCCCCCTTGTTTTGCCTAGATATTTGGTGTCAAAATGATTCAGTTTACCGTCATGTAATAAAGATGATTCAAAGAGTTCTGTCCCTTTTATGGGATGTTCTAACTTTTTCATCCAACAGTTCCACTTAAATTTGTTTTTCTTTTCAAGTATTGTTGTAGTTTAGTTTTCTTTTGGGAAAAAAAGAAAGACCCAAAATTAAAGATTTGGTTTTCTATTCTTTCTTTTATTTAACAATCACATCCTGTTAAAGTAGGATTAACACCTCCGTGTTTGGTAATTTATTTACATTTGAAATATATTTGGTTTTTGTTTAAAGTTTACAGAGCCAACAAGCATTCCTGCACCACATGTATGAATTTCTGATGCTTAGCAAGTAATCTGTTTGCAAACAGTTTGCATAAACGTCCTAAACTCAGATTTAGATCTTATTTTAGTATCTAAACCTCTCCATATGCTGTCCCTTTAAAAGGGTTGCAGTAATGTAATATGATCCATCATACAATCATTGTACCAAAACAGTCCAAAGCACTTTCCGTTACATTCAATTAATCTTGCATTGATTCCCTCTGTGCAAATCCAGCGACATGTTGAACATGTCCAATGACAGCACAAGCTGCCTTTATCCCTTTTGTTCCTCTTTACGGCATCCTTTCGCCTATCTGCCATCACAGACACCAAGTACACTTACACTGTGATGTTCTCTCCATTTTCCAAAAATGGGATCAGAGGAGCTCCATCTTTTACTCCCAAACTACAGACCTTTGGCAAACAGCAACAGCAGACATACAAGTAAAAGCCACTTCTCATCATAGGCCAGACTTTTACTAGAGATAATGCAGAACAACTGTAACTATTAGATATCAAGGAAGTAATCATGTAAAAAACACGTTAATTTGATTACTTCCAATTATAAAATCTAATTTTGTTTCAATATAGAATCTAAAATCTATGTTACTTTTTTAAAAATCAATCTAAAAGTCAATTCCACCTCTAAACATTTGAAATGTGGAGTCTCTCTTTAGCGAAAAACAAACTGTCTTAGGTGTAAATTTGATGGGGTTTTTTTGCTTTGTGTGAAGCACTGTGGAGCATTTATGATTAGTCTGTAGCTTCCAGACAGCAGCCAGACCATTCTCAATTTGTATAATTGGGTATAAATATGGAGCCATGTTTCTTATGTGATTCTAAAATAATACTGTTGGTACTTAGGCTACCTCCAGAGATATTTAGAAAGACATTTTGGAGTTTTAGAAGGTATTTGCAAAAGTAAATACATTTTTGTCTGAGAAAAATGTATCTAATTTGTTCAAGCTAACAGCTACACTAGCTTATTTAAAATAAATGCCTATCTTAACTAAAATCTGACCCAACCCAGGAAAACTTATTTTAAATATTCGTACGCATAATCAACTTTCCCCAAAACAGCTGTTTACATTCCTGTCTTTTTGTCAAATAAGCAGGAGTTACTCTGATAATTGGGGACACTACTGATAAACATCAGTGCAATGACTAGCTGACTACACAAAGAGTTGTTTTCCAACAATTCTCCCTCTACAGCCTCTTTCCCATTGAAAATAGGTGTGTTTTTCAAACATGGGTTGACCTGCTAACAATTAGCATTTGGCCTACTTCCCATTGGCAAAAAAAGTTGGGTCAAACTCCTAGCTGGCAAGCTGCGTGACTGGTGATATCATCACATAGCGTTAGCTTTGATGATGTCACCACTGCAACAGAAATCAGGAGAGTAAACAATGGAGAGCCACATGTAAGAAAGCCAAGGCGTAGTAAGTGTGCATAATTGTTTTGCTCTTTTATCTGTAAAAATCCCTCTTACTAGGGGTGCACCATGTTTAATGAATGTAAATAGATTTGTTTCGGTTTGTAAGATCAAAAACGGCTAGCGCAGTGTGTTGACGTACGTACATTGTGTTCAATGGAATCACGTAAATTAGCAGGGCAATCCGGCTGTAGTGTTCCCACCACATACTGATCAGAGCCGAGCCGATTTTAACACGGGTCACTCGCCGAGTCGTTTGACTCGGTTGGACAAGGGCAAGTGAGCTGTTACCACTGTTACTTGAAACCGGATTGTTCCCGGGTTTAAATAAGTTTTTCGGCCAATGGGAAAGGGGTATATATCATCTGATGCTAACAGATATCCATCTATATTACTTTCCTTTTTACTTTTATAATGTCCGTTTTCTGTCTTGTGACTAAACTACTTTAAAGTCACAGCAAATCTGATCCTAAACAAAATTATTCAAAACAGGAATTTTTGTGTTGGAGATTTGCAAAAAATACCTACCGGTAAATATAATATCCAATGTTTATCCAATGTTTTGTTTCTTGAATTGTTTCAGCTATCTAATTTCTAAATGTGTCAGTTTGACTGTAACCTCAGAATATCTGTTTTTAATGTCTGTTTTTTTAAACTTAGCTCACTGTGTTTGCTGTTGACTTTATGTTAGATGGTGACTATTCATAATTACTCCACAGCACCCTAATTATAAGAAGAAATGGCTGCTTTAAGAGACAGAAAAAATAGCATTTGCTAGATTTGGAGATTGTCCTTAAAATGGTCAAGTTACCACTGTCAGTTTAAACAAATATAAACTGACAATGTTAAGCTGGTTCCATCAAAAGACTTGCAATTATCACAGTTACTCCAAACTACTAACAACATCAGTTACAAGTTTTCCATCCTTTGTTCAAACATTATATCCTAAATCTTGAAGATGTAAGCTTTTCATAAAAGACAACTTTTAACAACTTTCCACTAAAATCTTAAAATTGCTTTCCAGAGAAATAAAGTATTTCATACAAAGATCTTTCTGACCCATGCAAAATATACGCACATTTTCAAACATCCTTCTTTCTTGGTTTAACATTATTGTGCTTTCATTGGGTTAGGAACTCACAAATAAATGAAGCCAAAAGTCTGTAGGAGATATTTTTTCCCCCCACATTTGGAATCGGTCTCCTTGGGTACTATGGTACTCCAAGGAGTGCAGTCTTGGGAAAAATACAGTATAGTTCCAACATTTTGACATAATAAGTGGAAATACAATAAAATCAATACAAAAGAACACACTGGAAAGGCAAAATGAGTTTCAGCTCTTGCACGTATAACTGTAAGCTGACTTTCTAACCCCAGCTCCACTTTTTAGGCTTCTTGGTCACTCTTATAGGTGACTGGATCAAGGGGAATTGCAGTCTGTAGGATGTCAAACTCCATTTGGTTATTGTCCATGTCCAGAACACACATAACATTGTGACTGCCTGAGGTTATGGTTGCTGTGTCATGAAACATACTTTGAAAGTCAACAGAAGTCCTCCTCTCCTCTGCCCTGTCCTTCCCTACCATCTGTGTAGAGTCAAATATGTCTTCCTCCTCATCCTCTGCACAGCTCAGTGCTACTTCATTCTCATAACAGAAGGCGGTCAGAGACCTTGGGATCAAGTCTTGTGTAGATCTATGGGCTGATGCAGGAGATGCAGCAGAGGATGCTCGGCTCGCAGCTTCGTCGAGCTCTTTCGCGCTGAGATGGGGTGTTGATGGGACCTCGTAGGTATTGTGGAAGTGGGCATAGTCCACCTTGTAGCGGTCCCGATCCTCGTAGATCACTGGCTCAAACCTGTGACCCCAGAAGATTTCCCTGGAAAGGTAGGAGCTACGGAACTGTGTAGTCATGGCTGTGGCCTCCACCATCCCCTCCAAGATGACAACAACCTCAAAGTCATCTGCTTCCAGATCTGCTCGACTTAAATTGTACAAAGGGCTATCTTTGTCTATCTCATGAATTATAACCAGTGGCGACACTAAAAACAATCGGTCTGTACCTTCATCGTAGCCCACATTTAGGTCCATTTGTTCCAGAGGGATGAACTCTCCTTCAGCTGTGACATATGATCGTATGAGCTGTGCACGGACATGGGCTTCTACAATATGGCTCCTCCGCAGGTTGCCCACCCTCCACATGAGGCACAGTTTGCCGTCACGCAAAGAAATGACAGCATTTTTCGAGAAAATGAGGGTCTGATTCCTCTTCTTTGGCCGCGCCATCTTAGCCATGATGGTTCCAATCATGAAGGAGTCAATGATGCAACCAACAATGGACTGAATGACCACTGTCAACACAGCCAGAGGACACTCCTCAGTAACACAGCGCCAGCCGTAGCCAATAGTAGTCTGGGTCTCCATAGAGAAGAGGAGCGCCCCAACAAAGCCCTGGACATGCAGTATGCAGGGCATCTTTTGTTTCTGCCCCCCAGCTGACAGCCCAGAGGAGGCTTCATGCATCCCTGCCACCACCTCGTTAGCTTTCTGTTTAGGGGGTTCCTCGAAGTCTCCATGTGCAAATGCGACACTGTAAAAGATTAACCCAAATATCAGCCATGAGATGAGAAAGCTTGTGCAGAACAGAAGTAGTAGATATCGCCAACTGCTGTCCACGCAGGTGGTGAAGATGTCTGCGAGGTAGCGCTGACTCCGGTCCTCCATGTTTGTGAATACTACATTGCATTGTCCGTTCTTCTTCACAAAACGGCTTCGGACTTGATTGGAGCCCCTTGTCAGGGCCTTCCCGTTGTAGCTGTTCATACCTCTCTGTCCACTTTTGCCAGGCACAACAGCAGTGGCTCCAGGCCTCCTTCTGCTGTCCTCTCTTTCTGTGTCTATCTGCTTCTTGACTTTGGTAGAACTGTTACCGTTGTTGAGGGCTAAACTAGAAATCTTCTGCAGCTCCTCCTCTGGTATGACGTCTGACACGATGCTGTACCTGTGAAATGGCAGGATTAAGGTTAAACCTTTAATACATATTGATAAAAAACATAGCAATAGTGATAAAAAGCTAAAATACACCAAGCATCTGCATGGATTTCAAATTAATTTGAGGTCATTAAGGACACATTTGAGAGTTTTTTCATGAGGGTCAAAGAAATAAAAGAGGAGTTTGGATTTATTGTAGGTTTTCTCTTATCCACACATGATCAAATATGGCCACTATATCGAACACAACTGTCTTTTTACTTGTTAACACACAAAAAAGCAACCATTGATGGCGATTCAAACTTACATGGTGAGGATAATTCACTGTTCAAAACAAACGTCAAGGTGACTGTTAACATGGGATTACAGGTTGTACCAGACAGGTGGATCTACTGGAATGTTTAGTAACAGCCATCTCTAAGGCTTACAAAAATTGGAACACAATTCTGGCACAACATTTAATGGTCAAAATTGAGTAGTTTGGTGAAAAGCAGTGAAAAAAGTATAAGGAGAAGGAAGGACTCAACATGGGATAATTTTAAAAGATCAGACAACCACCTTAAATGTTTGAGGTAATATGAAGCTTTCAAAACTAATAACGCTGTACTAACTGACAAGCATGGTGGTGGCAGCATGTTGCCACACGGTCTGCCTGAGATAGTAATACTTTGCACAAGTTGCTAAATGCCTGCTGAATGTTTCTAAGGGCACGTATTTGTAACTTAATCCCACATACAAAAAATACCTCTTTGATCCCAACAGAATAAAATTTGTCATGATTCTGTAGACAGAAAGGATCTACTATGACTTTGCCAAATTCCACTTTGTTTCATATATAAGGAAACTGAGAAGACAGGCCTTTATAGTATAAAAAGGTTTTCAGGTAAAAAAAAAAAAGCAATAAAATACATATCCGAAACCCGGTTTAAGACTGAAACACCAATATATGGACAACAGATGTGCATTGGAGAAGATATTTTAACAATGCAAACACACACAAGATGAACATGAAAGAAGAATTTTAAGAATACTTTGAAAAATTTATTTCGTATAAAACAAAAATAAGGCGTAAGCAGGCCTGAAACTCCCAGAGGCTATGTTGTTTGTTCGTCTTTCAATTTCACATTATATTAATTGTATTTTATTCATTTATTTATTTATTTTTTGTATGTTTGTTTGTTGTTTTTTTTAATCATTTTTGGGGTTCCCATATTCCCTTTTTTTAAATTTCAAATTTCATATAAACGATGAATAAAAAGCTAACATCTAGCGCCCCCTAGTGGCACCCACTATGAAAAGCACTGTGCCAGAAGACATTCAAAATGTTACAGGGAGTTTTATCTTAATATTTGAGTCTGTAAATATAGTTGGACCCTGTAGATGACTAGAGAAAATCCCCTATTGATAAATATTTTTCATTATATTTTACCTGAAAACTTTAAAACTGTAATGGCCATTTCAAAAACATCATTAAAGGCCTGGAACTGATATGGAAACTATTTATTATTGTAATGCATGTGAATATTTCTCCCACAGTGTATATACTGCAGATTAATGTCTGCATCTAAACTTCCATATCATTGCACCTTCAGAAATTACTTGAAATGGAATTTTGCTAAAATTAGTTGAAAGACTTTCTGATATTTGGCTTCTTGATTTTAATGATCAGGACAGCAAAAAATAGTAAACGATGAAGGCAAACACTTTTTCTTGTGATCCCTTGCTTCAGTTTCAGGGCATACAGAGAATCTGAGCCCTCTCATAGCAACATATAGTGGGAACTTGCTGCACGTCACTCAATTAAATGAAGCGATCAAGAATTTCTTCATCTCTCGCTCAGAAATAATCTAGTCAGATTTTCTAATTTACAGTTGAAAATAATGGCTCATCCAAAGTAACCTGTCTCTCCTGAAGGGATTACCTGCGGGGAAGGTGAGTTCAGTTTAGCAATCTGAGCAGGATTTCTGTCATCAGATTATAGGATTAGATTTGAAACAGTGTCAGTCTGACAGCCTATTTTGAGAGTGCGGCATGTTTATGTAATTTTAGTATGCAGGTACGTAGATTGTAAAAATCCCAGTTAACCATACATACACCCACGGATACACAACTGATGTGATTGAGAGATGCTCCTTTTTATGCACGACTAATGAAGAGGTAAAAACATGGATGGACAGATGGCCACTCAGATGTCTCACTCACAAAAAAACAGAAATAAAAAACGAGAACCGCACATCCGTTTAATATTTTTAGCTGAGTTACGCTGACCCACAGACTAAACCTTTTTGTTAACATTATGAAGCTGGTTCAGATGAGTAACTGCTGTAGATTTCTGCCTGCCTACATGCAGGGCAGTGTAGGGTGGCCTTGGCCTTTCTGAAGATCTTCTTGCTGTAAATACCCCTGAGCTGGGGGCTGACTCACCCCAGCAAGCCATATTAACACGCACTGTGTATTCTCACAGTGGGATGTTAGCCCGTCACAACTACAGTGCAGGGGTTTATGAAAACTAGCAACAACCTTTAATCAGTCAAACAAATCTTTAAAACAGAAGCGGTTTCAGGAAGGAAATCACCCACCTGTTGGATCTTGTTCCCATGGCACCTGTCATTGCTGTGAACGGGCCTTGGTGGGACGACAGACTTCGCCGGGCCCCCAGACATTAGCTCTCCATGACTGAGAAGGTTCATCTGAAGAGCCACCAAAAAAGTTTCGTGAACCTAAGCAAAAGCAATAGATTAGAATTACAGGAACAGCTTTGTAACTGGCATTGGGGATTTTCTATGTCAAGGTTGCAAGACAGCCTAGTTGGAATGAATTTGTTGTTTTTATTATTCTGCTCCAAATTACAAATTAAAATATATTCAAACACTACATCTTAAAAGAGTGTGTTTTTATTTATATTTTACTATATAAAGTTTTATGAATTAGAAAAAAATGGTAAAACCTAAAGAAAGCAAACAAAGATGTCCTGTTGTCTGGTTTTAATGCATGGCTTGATCTTGTAGGTTTAACACTGGCTGCATTTTAATCAGTGAAATAAATATCTGAGTTTGGATTTGTTTTGATCCAATCATGTAAAATATTACGTGCAAAACTATGTAGACCTGCTTAAGCTTCTCTTCAATAGATAAAGACTGGATTATCTCATCATGTTGTATTATTTGACTCTGTGGGACGTCTCTCTGTGGTTTGTTAAATGACGTATTATTGCTGGACGTGTACTTTTAATATTCTTCCATCAAATCCGGGTAATTTTGTACTTAGATTTAAAAAAAAAAAAGCCTTAAATACAACTTACCATACAGTGCCTTGTAAGCATGTTGCAGATTGCCCCTTTTTACATGTATTTTATACTGCAAATAAACATTGATATAGGAGTGATGACCAACCAGACCAATGCAAAAGGCATATAATGCTTCCAGCTTTTTTTTTTTTTTTTGTAGCTGTAATAAAAGGAAACATGATCGACTGCTTTATTTTCTTTACAAATGAAAAACTGGAACCTCTGGTACTCAAACACACTTTAGAACAACCTTTTGCTTTGGTCCAAGATGCAGAAGTCACGCAGCAGTTTATCGGTTTCTAAAGGCTTCAAGTTTTTTCATTTTTCCTTCTATAAAAGTACCGATAGGATAAACAATGTCAAACTAGCATGAAATTTCAAGCCTTTTCTCAGATTGTTGATATGATTCAGCCCGTTTCACACCGAATTGTGTTTTGATCCAAACTCCTTTTTTGAATCGTCATCCTGTAGAAAGTGAGGCTTCATTTAAATTTCAAGTTTTTTTTTTTAAAACCTTAAATATTTTGGGGGGGTTTCTAACCCTGCCCTGTTTTTAGCTCCATCTATCGTCCAACACAATCAGACCAACTTCTCTGTTCCTGCTAAAGAGTTCCACAACATCATGCTACCATATCTTTGTTTCACTGTAAGGACAAACCAAATGTTACATTTAGATAAAGAAAGTTTAACTTAAGTCTCATCTGATGAGAGCAAACAGCTCTCCTGGTTACAACTCTTTCAATGATGGCTTTCTTCCCTCCACTCTTTCATTAACGCCTCCAACTTCATCAATAGATCACCTGCTTTTCTGATTTTTGCGGTCAAAAAATCGGATGCTGCTCAGAGCACACAGCATCATCCACATGGATGGACTTAGCAACAAATTAACTTCTGAGTCATTTAGTTGCACTGGACCTTTGATTTTTATTCTTTATTTTCCGTCCAGTTAGAATATGCACTAATCCGTGATAATTTACACATAAACCCCCACGAAATACATTAAAGTTTGTAGTTTTAACATGACAAATGGGGAATATTCAAAGGCCAATATACTGCTTTGACAATAAAGACCAATGTGGGACTACATCTGACACAACACAACAGCTGCACAAAGATAGGTGCTGGGAAGACCTGTTCTACCTCGGCCCAGAACGGCAGGAACAGAACCTGAAATACCACCCCTGCCCTCACCTCTGGCCTCTTCCCATCAGGTACATCAGGAACTCTAAACTGGCATTGTATTCAACAGTTACACCAAGTAATATTGGGTTTTTTTTCAGTGTAATTCTATATTAATTAATGTGGAAAATGTTGGAACAGACTGTCCTCTGTATCCTTTTCTGAACATTTGAACAGATAGATAAAAATGTTGCTGTAAACCAAATGTCACAAAATTGTTATATATTATCATTTGATGATATAATGGGAATAATTACAGCAAATATTTGAATGCTTTAACAATCATTGTTCAATCAAGTGTTTTGTGGAACATGCTCAGCCTTTTTAACTCACACTTCTGTTCTGGTTTCATATTTAATAGATAGCAGGATTATAGAATAGTGCAATGTGGTTTTGTGGATAAAAATAATTCTCAAAAGCTTCATGATTATGACATCTCTGTTTTCATCACCTTATAATGTGGGCCTCTTTTTGTTTGTCACACAAACCACCTTTCCATTTTTTCTAGGCATATTTTGTCAACACCGACACATTAACAGAAAATCAAAGTTCTGGTTGATATTTGCCTTTTTAAAATTTCAATAGAAAACATAAAAACTATTCAAATAAGGAATGTATTCACAACAAAACATCCTCTAAATAGAGTCTTTAAATGAAGGATGAATACAGGTTTATATTAGTACCCGTAACTGTTTGCAAGGCAAAAAGTTTTTATGTTTTATGTTTGTTTCCACACATACAGATCAGGAATCAACCTGATCTGTTAAAGGAAGTAGAGATCAGGTAGCGATCTGTCATCTATAAAGCAGTAAAAAGTTTAATTTGCAGGCTTTCTCATAAACAAAGAGGTGGCACAGATGAGACGTGGGTAATATAAGCCAATTAATGGTCATCAGGTAAATCTGTGTTGCTTTTCTAAAGCTGGTTCCCTCAAGAGAGACAAAGAAGTTGGTTTTAAAGTAGCGGTGGTGGGGGGTTGCATACAATATTAAGAGCTCTCATGAGTCTTAGGAGTTAGAGATGGGAAGAGAGAGTGTGGGCAGGAGGGGCAGCAACACAACACCTACAATTCATTTTGAAAATATTTAAATGGGTTATGATGAGTAAAAAAACAGACTGAGAAGAACATTTAGTCTGAGCTACAAACACTGGAGTCATAGAGCTTTTTTCTCATGCTTTTGTCTGTTTTTTCTGCCCCAAATGAATAGACCAAAATATCACTGTACCTCAAAGATTGTGTAATGAGGCTTTTGTAGCTGCATTGATGGCAGGAAGAAGGAACAGAGGAGGCAACACATTTAAACAGGCAAACTTCCACACAGACATGGACAATCAGATTCTTACATCTTAATTGGACTGTTTCATCATATTTGTGCAGGCTTGTCCAAAGTTTGTCCTCGACTGCCGCTGTCCTGTAGGTTTTAGAGGTTGCCCTGCTTCGGTAGAGCAGATTTCCATTGTTAGCTCAACAGGCTTTTGCTGAACTGCATCAGTCAGAATCAGCTGTGATGAAGCTGAGAAGCACTGGAAACCTGTAGAACAGCAGCCCTCGAGGGCCAGCTTTGGACATGCCTGTATTAGAGTCATTGACTAACGAATTTGTTCAACCATTGTGAACATGATCAGCTCCACTACACACATATAGGCACATTCACGATAATCCAGAATCTTTAATACTGTTTATTTGACCCCTGTTTAAGGGAAAGAAACATAGAACCACATTTACATTAAATATTTCTTTGGCTTTTCTCCTAAAAATAGACAAAAGAAGAAAAATTCTTAGTGCCAAAAGTTGAAATCTGTTCCACGATGTGGAGAGCAGCTTTTTCTTTCCCAGGTAGGGCATTGCTAGATGGCTTTTAGAGAAGCAATTATGCAAAGTAGTCTTTAGGCTGGTCATTAAAAGGAGGAAATTAAGTTACTGCCTGGTAAAAGGTTTTCATAATTACCTGACGCATTCAGGAGGGAGTAATAGAGCAAGGTTTCCTGGATAGTTTCAAATAGAAACTACCTTTATATCTGCCTTGCAGTTGCAACCTTTTATTTGTATTGCAATTCATAATATGGCAATGTTCTAATATTTAGTGAAATGGCTCCACAACTATTTTCTGCTCTTGTATTATGTAAAACTCTTCATGGAAATTTCAGAATTTTTGTTTTTGTTCACGACTCAACCTACAGGGGAGAGCTCAGCCAAAGAGAGACTAATTCCCACGCTATCCTGATCCCAGACCTCCTCCGTTTTGGCTTTATTTAATATAACTTTATTTTTACTCTGCTCTATTGAATTACAGCAGAAGGTCAAACACAATAAATAATAATAATAAATAATCAGGATTATGTGAAAATGATAAAAATAAGAACATGGATATTTTTCCAGTACTAGTTCAGTGAGAAACCTTAACACATCTGTGTTTTCAGGACTTCTCACATAATTAATTTTCGTTTAATTTTAGCCCTTTTATGGATTAATGAGGGGAAAAAACATTTAGAGAAGAAAAGTTATTTGTTTTTGCATTTTCTTTTGAAGAGGAATCAAACACTGAGTTTAGAGGCGTTGGGGTCTTTCTGATTTGATCAAGCATGAACGAAAACCTTTCAGACCCACACAGTTAGTCCTCCAAATAAACTTAATGCTGAGCTTGTCTTTGTGCTTATAAACTGACCCTGGATCAAGTGAAACATGCAGATGACAGAAGTGTCCATGATAGCTGAGATACCAGTTACCTGATTTGATGCGTAGTTTGATTAGTTTTCTGACAGTTTGTGTGCTTTCTAACGACTAAATTTGCTGAAAATAAACCAACATGTGCATCTTCTGATTACTGAAGAAAAAGTTGTGAATTCATCAAAAACTGTACTTACCCTGCTGTTTGGAGGTTGTTGTCTTGCTTGGGTACGATGTATATTCCTTTGATAGACCTTCACTCTTTAAATCCCATATTCTTCATTATGCAAACCTTTCTATTCCTCTGGTCCTTCTTTTTTTTCTTCTTTTAATTTCACCATCATTTCTTAGTTATCATTTCTATCCTAGTTGTTTCTCTTTTAATCCTTTTCTGTCCTGCTTTGCCTTCTTCACTGATTATAATCCTGTCTACTCTACTGTGCGGACTCATAGAACAGACTGAAAGTGCTGTGTCAATCTCTC